AGACAGAGTCTCATTTTGTCGCCCCATGGCATCACACAGCTCACAGCAACCTCCAACTCCTGGGCTGAGGCTATTCTCTTGCCTCAGGCTCACAAGTAGCTGGGACTACAGGCGCCCGCCACAACGCCTGGCTATTTTGGCCGGAGCCTGGTTCAAACCCGCCACCCTCGGTATATGGGGCCGGCGCCCTACCCACTGAGCCACAGGCACTGCCCTTCTGAATGCTATTTTTAAAAGAAAGATATAGTACTAATTCCTAAGCTCTAGAGGAATCCTCAAACTACGGCCCATGGGCCCGCATGCGGCCCACCGAGAACATTTATCCAGCCCTCTGGGTGTTTTTGCCGCTGCTGCCTGACCTGCTTAGCAGCCGACTCTTCTCAGGCCCACAGTCCGGCCCTCCAGTGGTCTAAGGGACAGTGAACTGGCCCCCTATTTAAAAAGTTTGAGGACCCCTGCTAGACCACCAGGGAGGTTTTTGAAACCTTTTTTGAAACCCCATTACTGTGAAATCCTTCAATATCTGGTTTTCTTAACAGTCTGAAACTCCATCCCCCATGTTTGTGGAGTCATATTTGCCTTTTCACTTTTTCCGTCACTTGTACTTATTCAGGAGGACTCTGGTCAGAGGATTCTCTGTAGGTGCTTGAGGGAGATGGTGAAAGTGAATGCGTTGTGATTATCTCCATTGGGATCCTCCTGGTATCCTAAACTCCTAAGTTAAAGTATACCACAAGATAGAACTTCAAGTGCATGTGAGATAAACCTTTATAGACTTGTGTAGAAGTATCACAACTAACTAAAATGTTGTTTCAGGAGAAAAGCATACTGTCTTCTAAATAAAGAGATTACAAGCAGTCTTTTGGAACAAAGTTAATAGAGACTGTTGATAGACAGTGAAGTTGAAAACAAAACGGAAATGATTGACAAGATTATTTTCTTTGATATATACTACATTTAGTATTTACATTAAAAATGAATGTTAAATATAATAAAAAGAAACATGGAAGAGATTAGCGCTTATAGACATAAAAGAAAAAATCTATTTTGTTTTGTTTTGGAATACATTTATCTGCACGCATAATAGCATTATCTGTTTCACATGTTAAGATGTTATTTTTAATGAAAAAATAGTGAAGCAATTATAATTGCAAATTGTAAATAAAACATTTATTCTAATCATCATTTAAACACAAATAAGTATGCAATTCAAGATATAATTAAATATAATAAGAGCAGTACATTATGAAATACAAATGACATACACACCCTTGAGTAAAATTTGCATATTTTAAGATAGGGTTTTAACCATTTACTATTGATATAATTCCTATTTACAATTAAATAGGTCCTTTAAAATGTCAACACTAGTAAATGTGGCATAATCAAAGAGCCCTTCAGGTTGTATAGTAATGTAATCAACCTCTGGGAATTTGAACTTGGAGTAAAAAATCTCACCTAAATTAAACTAACATACATAGCATAACATGCACCTGTTTAGAACATATTACTAGAATTAATTACTTGGTTATGATGGATAAGCAACTTAGAAAGGAGTATATGATTAACAGTAAGATGTTTTATACAATTTGTATATGGTAACAGTTTCATGTTGATTTTATTCTAAACAGAAAGGGAATTGGAAAGCTATACTTTCATGATAGTAAGATGCTACATTTACATGTTCCTTGGAATGAGGCATCCCTATTTCCCTTGCCAAATGTTAAGGCTATGGCCATGTTGAGGAGGATGACATAGGATGAACAGCTTTCTAGCAGTGTTCAGCTGTTCCCTCTGAGAAACAAAGCGAAAGCTCTATTGTTCTTCTTCTTCCTATCTCTCCCTGTCTCTTTCTTTCCCTCTTATAGCAGGGGATGCTCCACTTCCTCTTGGCAACCAGATTGGAATTTCCCAGTAAGCATTCACTCAGCAATTTTCTTGATGTCATATATTTGTACTATTGAGGTTAGGATGTGTTTTGACTCGGTGTTACCATGAGTGGTATTACCATGGTGAACAAGGCACAATCTCTGCTTTTGTGAAGCTTACATTTTGTGGGTCTTTAGGTACACGAACAGGCAGTTGCAATGCAGTATGGTAAATATCACAGCAGAGGGAAGAATAGTGTGACAGGGAAGACAAGTAAGAGGCATAAGAGGCTTGTAAGTGGAGGCCAGGAGTCAAGATTGAAATCCTGGAATTAAAAAAAGCAAAACAAAACAAAATCATATGAATTAATTAAAACAATCAAATATAAAAGCAAGGAGTCACTTTCTGTCCCATATATCCATTTATTTATCTGTTTTTCTAGTCTCAACCTGTGCCACGGTTGAGTTCCGCTGCGCAGATGGGACTTGCATTCCAAGATCAGCAAGATGCAACCAGAACATAGATTGTGCAGATGCTTCTGATGAAAAGAACTGCAGTAAGATATTCCACTACCTTTTGTCTGTTCATCCATGGATACCTGGGCATTGCATTGAACACTGTCCAACTTCTTACTGAACCTTATCCAGAACTAATATGTAATTAACCCCTGGTGTGTAGGAAAATTGTATATTTACTTCTTCAAATGAAGTTAACTTTTCTTGTCTCTATGACCTACATAGAAGGCTCATAATCTTTGCAAATGAGGTATTTTTCATTTTTCTATTCACCTGTTTCTAGATAATACAGACTGCACACATTTTTATAAACTTGGAGTGAAAACTGCAGGGTTCATAAGATGTAATTCTACCTCACTGTGTGTTCTGCCAACTTGGATATGCGATGGGTCTAATGACTGTGGAGACTATTCAGATGAATTGAAGTGTCCAGGTAATTAAAGAAACAACAACAACAATGATAACAACAACAAAAAACACCAGCCTTTTCCTTAAAGATTTATAGGCTAGTTAGCTGCATATAAGTTTTTAAAATTTTTATTCTTACCATTCAATGAATGATATTAAAATACAAATGATACAAACTAGAAAGTAATGACCTGTTTTATGCTTGTTACTTGATCTTTTTTTTTTTTTAATGAATTATATTATTATACTAAAAAAGCGCTGCCCTAAATTTGGACCACTTTTCTTTTTTATGTTCAGTTCATCATTACTCCTTTTAAAATTGTTCATTAATATTTAAAATATGTAATTTATAAAGCTTCAACAGAATTATTACACACCTAGAAATAACTTTGTAGACTAAAAAGGGAGAGACTATAAGCTTTTCTCAGTGTTACTATGAGGCTGGTGTTTATGTGTTAGCCTGTTTAATGCACTTTACTCAATTTTTTGCGTAATAGTTTGAGTAATAGTTATATTACCATTATTGGATCGAGGTTCAACAGATAAATTTATATCCATTAACCATCTTCACCAACATAAGCTCTGAAAAGTGCCATCTGTGGTCTTATAAGAAAAGGTAATGACTTTCCAGCAAAGGTCATTTTGAGGATGCTGAAATTAAAAAAAAAAAATCAGAAAAGAAAAGTGATAACTATGTCTAACTGGGAGTAGATATGACATACAGGATACTATTAAAGTTGTTCTTACACTACTGTTTACCTCTCTCTGCCCTACTGCTACACTCATTTCTTTCACATTTAGTTGATACACAGAAACTTTCTGAAATATTTTAAGATGTTATATTCATAGATACTTTGCATACCTTTTTTGTACACATATATACACAAATATACTAAGTAAAACTTATAATTGTTCATAATCTATCACTAAATTTGGCAGGAGTAGATCCCATTTCTTTATGCTCAACAGTATGTAACATTATGTGATGTCATTTTTTCCTTCTGTGTTGAAAAACCTAGCTGCATCCTCAGAGAAAGTGGAGAACTTCTCCAGATGCCCATGACACTGCAATTCTTTCACATTTTATAAAATGATTTACTGTAATTTTAATTATATAAAGTACTTCTAAACTTATGGAAACTGAGTGTCAAGATTCTGAGTCCCATATTCTTTTGCAAGAGCACATTCTTTACCACATTATGGCTGTAGTTAAATTTTGGAATTATCTTTAAGGTGGCATACAACATATATTCATTAAACCATTATTTTCCTTTATTCATTATTTTCCTTTTGGTGATTTTATAATTTTCTAATATTAACAAATTATTTTGAAATTTAACTTTGCCATTACTGGAGAATTGTGGTTTTTATATTTGGTTAGGAGAAAAGGAACACTAAGGATTTTGAAATAGTTGAACTGATAAGTAGGAAAACAGATATGGGTCAGGGTAAGTATTTGATACTTATGCAAAAGGCTAAGAAAAAACTAAGACATGAAACATACTTAAAATGTTTATGTCTAGGTTGACATGATGACACACACCTATCATTCTGGCACTTTGGGACATCAGGTGGTAAGATTACTTGAGGCCGGGAGTTCAAGACTAGATTGGGCAGCATAGTAATACCCAGTCACTACATAAAATAAATAAATAAATAAATAAATAAATAAATAAATAAATTAGCAGTGTGTGGTGGCACTCACCTATAGTCCCAGTTACTTGGAAAGTAGAAGGATTGCTCAAGCCCAGGAGTTTGAGGCTGAAATCAGCTATCATTGAGCCAGTATATTCCAGCCTAAATGACAGAGCAAGACTTTGTCTAAGATTTAAAAAAATAATAGTTTTTGGCTTAATGATGAATTTACTAAAAAAAATGTATTTTCACCTTTAATTAGACTTGCAAAATTGACATTTGTATTATCTGAAAATATTAATAACAGACCATTACGGTGTGTTTGTCATATATAGGGCTTTCTTCCTGATTAGGTATGAGCCAGTAAGTGTGAAACAATGTTAGCCTGAAGGTGCAAGGAGATTCCATCTGGTCAAGAAAAAATACAGTATTTTCTACACATTCTTAGAGGTTATAATAATAATAATAATAATAGTTCATAATTAAAATACATATAATATAGCAAATAATTTTACCTTTTTTATTCTTTTGATATTTCTGCAAGGTATAATAATTTTAGAGATTCTATTGTAACTTTATTTATTTTTTAATTGTTTTTTTGAGACAAGTATCACTCTTTCACTCTGGGTAGAGTACATGGCATCATAGCTCACAGAAACCCCCAATTCAAATTGAGCCCAAGCTCAAATGATCCTCTTGTCTCAGCCTCCCCAGTAGCTGGGACTACAGGCGCCTACCCCAGTACCTGTCTAGTTTTTCCATTTTTAGTAGAGGGAGAGTCTTGGTCTTATCTAGGCTGGTCTCTCCTGAGCTCAAGCAGTCCACTGCCTCAGCTTCCCACAGTGCTAGGATTACAGGCATAAATGACCCACCTGGCTAAGATTCTACTGTAACCTTCTTTAGACTAGGGAATAATTATTTAAATCCTGAACACCAAATCTACACTTTTTCAGCAAAGATCTACCAATCTTTTGATTTTGTTATTTAGTTTCTTTTATGAATATGAAACTCATAATATTTTTCACCCAAATATGATTCTTTGGTGTTAGGCTCACTTAATGACTTTTCAGATATTTTGCTTTATTTTTATTAACTGTCACACTATTGTTATTTAACCAATTTTTTCATTAGTATCCTCTTTCTGTTTTAGGACCTAAGCCTGAATTTAAGTTGATTATCATGTCTCTTGCATCTCCTCTGCTCTGTGATAGTTTCTTAGTCTTTCTTTTGTTTTCACAACCTTGACATCTTCAGGGGAATATCACTGGTTTTCTACTTGTTTGCTTGTTATTTATCTCTTCTAGTTTAAGGAGTACTAGTGCTTTATCTACCTGTATTGTCAAAGTCTAAGGTTAATTTAAATTTTTGACACTACATTTCATGTTTTGTCACAGTTCAAAACAAACACAAATGTGAAGAAAATTATTTTGGTTGTCCTAGTGGAAGATGCATTTTGAATACCTGGATATGCGATGGTCAGAAAGATTGTGAGGATGGACTTGATGAATTCCACTGTGGTGAGACATTATATTTTGGTGTAGTTTTATAAGCTATATTATCATTTATATGCTGATATTTTCTTACATGGGGATCTTATAAAAATATTACTATTTGATTTTCACATCAGTATTTATTTTTATCATATAATAAAAATAGTAAAAAATGAAATAAAACTGAAGATCTTATAATGATGAATAACATTCCTAGACTTTTATTCTTTTCTGTATATTTTGAGTTGTTACCTCCATTCATCTAAATGATATACTTTCATTTCTTGATTTACTAACTTATAAATATATTTACTTTCTGCTGTGAAGCCCAAAGATTTGATAAACATGGCATGTTAGACTTCCCCTACCTGTTATTGACAGGTGCAGTAGTCCCTCATTGCCTGTGCAGGGGAGGAATTTTAGAATTCCCTGTGGGTACCAGAATCCATGGATGCTCAAGTCCCTTGTATAAAATGGCTTGATATTATCATACTCTTCTTTGTACTTCAATGTGTCTCTCAATTGTTTATTATACCTAATATGACATAAATGACTATTGTACTATGTTATTTGTATTGTTTTATTTTTTTTAATAATTTTGATTTGTGTTTGTTGAATCTATAGATTCAGAAGCTGTGGATATGGAGGATTAACTGAATATGTTTATTCTAAAATATTCTATTAATTCATATGCATAGTTTGAAATAATAAGCTCTTACCTCTTCAAACCCTTGTTTTTCACCCTCTAACTCCCAATTTCTTTGTGTGAATTTTGTATTTCACATTTCATTGTCAAATTAAGAAAGCATTTTAAAATTTAGTTTATAAAATTTGTGGATTTTGTGATTTGTAGGCCAAAGAAATTTCCTGTAGGAAAACAAAGCATATATTTACTATTTTCTGTTAACACAAATAACATACACTGTGGTGAATAGAGAGAATAGAAAAAGATTAAAGATGGATCGTCTATGAAATGTCAAACTCTCCTAAAAGTAAATGTCATCATGAAATGTGAAAGTGCATTTTGTTTGATTAAGATGCTATATATCTTTACATTACAGCCAGATTCTGAACAAGACTAACAGAGAACTTCAAAAGTAGTTTACTTGGATGCATAATTTCTGAACAGTGAGGCATTACATGATTGCATCTTCCTTAATTTTATTTTTCCCAGACTACAGTTTTCTAAATTTCTCTTTTGAGTATTTGAGTTAAATATTGTTTTTTTAAATTTAAAGTTTTTAAAGCATTTATAGGATTAAAACCAAAATTGTTATCTTTAGAATAATTTATATTTTGAGCACCTACATTTGGGGGGGGTGTTATTTATTTATTTGATGTTTTCTGGTGATAAATATGTTGGGTGGAAAGCCACGTCTGGAGGAAGAGGAGACAATAACAAATTTTGTGCTTGAAATAAAGGGAGTATGCTATTATTCTCGCACAAAATCAACCAACTTAATTTTGGTGCTATTACTCGTGTATAACAAACTCAAGTGTTTATAAAGAAGGGACGCAAAAATATCAACATGTAGGTATGTGGGGGGCCAAACTGTTGCCTTGTCATTAAACTAAAACCTCCTTGGTAACCTCACTTTAAAAAATAAAGAAAATTACCAGTCATTCCACCATTTTGTTACTCTGCTTAGGATATTGTTTTTTTCCTCTATTAATTTGATTAATTTAATTGTTAATTTTAGATTAAAATTAAAAAAAGGTGACTAGACCACACTTAGAATTTTTATTTTAAATCAGTGTCCAACACATTTTTTTAAATGACAGATTGGACTGATCAGAATTATGACTAGCTCTAAGGCAAGCCCCAATAAGAACCATGTGGAAAAAATAGCAGGTGTCAAAATTTTATAGAATTATAACATAGAGGAATTTGGCTTCTATTCTCATAGAGTGGTTGATTGTAGCAAAGGACTTCCTCATTTCCTCAAATGAGACAGGTGATCATCTCACTCAATTTATTTTTCCTTTTGTACCTAAAACATTCTTATTTATTTTCTAGATTCTTCTTGCTCTTGGAACCAATTTGCTTGCTCTGCACAAAAATGTATTTCTAGACACTGGATTTGTGATGGAGAGGATGATTGTGGAGATGGATTAGATGAAAGTGACAGCATTTGTGGTAAGTGGTTTCTTTGGTATTCTTAATCAAATTTTAGGCATTGCATATGTACTGTCATTTTAAAGCATATGCACAATTTTGTTTTCTAATTTATTAAAATTAACATAAAATTTATAATACATTCCCATATAGCTGTTTTTATTGTATATATATATATACACACACACACACACACACAGACAGTTGTTAGTTTATAGTTAGGATTTTTCCTGAAGGTTGTCATAATGAATGTATTTGCACATTTTATTTTTAGTTTACAGTTACTGGAGTAAATATCAATGATGGAAATTACTGGATCAAATAAACAATTTTTATGGCACTTTGTACGTGCTGCCAAGTTGTCCTCCAAAATTAGTATACTAATTTATGTTGCCACCAGCCACATACTATTTATATGTGTGGGTATGTGTCTGTGTTAGAGTGACATTACTGAATTATTTTATGTGAGAATAAGGTAGTTATTGTATATGATTATAAAAAACATTTTACTTTTTATTTTTCTTTTTTATTGTTGGGGATTCATTGAGGGTACAAGAAATCAGGTTACACTGTTGCATTTGTTAGGTAAAGTCCTTCTTATAATTGTGTCTTGCCCCAAAGATGTGTCACACCC